AAGCAGAAGGGCCCGCGTGGAGCCCAGAGTCAACAGGACTTCCCATTGGCCCCAGGCTGCACGTGGCATGCCAGCTTTGAAATGTACAAGAGTCCTCAGCTGATCCCAGCTTCTGTGGAAATGCTGTGAAGAATCTGGGGTCAGCTAGGGAGTCCCCAGCTAACCCCGGACTCCACGTGTTGCTGCCATTTTGAAACGCTGCAGCAGTGTTTCAAAGGGGCAGCGTCGCACTGAGCCTGAGGGGCAGGTCAACTTCATGTGGCACTGCTGCTTTGAAACACCGTGGTGGCATTTCAAAGGGGAAGCACCACACAGAGCCTGAGATCAGCTGTGAGGTGCTGCCCCTTTGAAATACCGCTGCAGCATTTCAAAGCAGCACCACCATAGGGAGCCCATACCCCATGCTCCGTGTGGCACTGCCACATTAGAGTATCCCCTCCCCACTCCCGTGACTAGTCCTTAAAATTCTTAGCGCTGATGCAGCAGTGTTTTAAGGCAGTGGTTCCCAACCTTTTTCATACCATGGACGGCAAATAATGAATATGCAAATATGAAAATAAAATGTTACCAGTCCACCAAAATATATACTCCAACTCTGGCCCCCAGAGCCGCTGCGAACCATTGGCTTCACCTGCAGCAGCTACCTGTCACGTGGCAACTGTCAGAGCTGAAGCCGGCTGCTGCGTGGTGTCTCAGAGATTCAGGGTATATCCCAGTCCCAGCCCGCGAAGCTGCTGAGAACAGCTGGCTTCAGCTCCAGTAGCCATTAACCATGTGCCCCAGAGCAGCCGGCATGGGCATGGCCTGACAGAGTGCTATGGCCTGGCAGACAGCGATTCATGGCCCGGCACTGGTCAGGAACCTGCTTTTAGGTGACACTGTGGTTGTGGCTACAGTGCTGGGGGAGAGCTCACCCTGTGCTCTAGGTCAGGGTTTTTCAACCAGTGGTACGAGTACCCTTATGGGTAGTTGAGAGAAGTCTGGGTGGGATATGTCAACACAACTGAAATTGGGAGAAAACTGAATTTTTGTTTTAAGTTTTACAGCATTTTATTATTTTTGTACTTTTTACACCCAAAAATTTCAACGCCTGCCCAGCTACCATTCAGTTGTTTAAACAAATGTGTTGCAATGGTAGAAAACAATTTCATGTGTCTGAAAACTGTAGGTACTGGGAGTACTTATAATTTTTTTTTTTTTAAAAGGGGTACTTTATAGTAAAAGGTTGAGAAACACTGCTCTAGGTAAATCAACTCTATGAGGAAAACAGCTGACAGTGCTGGGAGCTGGTTTATAATGGCACTTTGCAATGCAGTAACTTTCTGCACTTGTGCCCATTGGAGTCCGGGAGGTGGGCGGGCGTTAGCCCACCCACATCTAAAGGACCTCCCACCAGCCTATGGGGAGGGTCCACTGAGCCCAGAAAACACAATGATTACTTGGGACAAATAAAGATAAAAACAGGGACGGGTGTGAGGGTCAAAGGGCTAAAACAAGGGAACAGGATGAGGACACCGAGCAGAGAGCCCCTCAAAGGTCTCAAGAGAGCCAGCGGACATTGCCCCGTGGAACTCTGCCCGGATGCGTGAGCGGATGCAGGAATGGAAATAGGCCCCACAGTCACAGGCCCCTCCCCTGGCCAACATCTGCGCCCTGGTTTTATAATTCACCATCTTGGCGATAGCAACTTTGTGGGGTTATGGATGGGGTGTGCATAGATTAATAGTGAGGGGAGAAGTGCAACCAGAATCTCAACAAGAGGTTCTGGAGGAGCCAAAAGAGGGGCTGTAGCCTGGCATACTCGAGGTAGATGTGCGCCAGGGTTGCCCTCTCACCACAGAAGGGACAAGTGTCAGGAATGGGGGTGAACCACACCAAGTACGAGCCCGTGCTCACAGCGCCATGCAGGATTCTCCAGCTGATGTCCCCGGTAGGCTGTGGAATCAAGGTGGAATAGAGACTGGCCCACCGGGGCTCCCCACCCTCTATTGGTGGTAGGAGGTCCCGCCACTTGGTATCTGGGTGGGACACAAGGGTAGGGAAGTGGAGTGTGTGAAGCATGAGCATGTACAGATGGCTCTTTGGCGCGGTTTGGAAGGGGACTAGTTGCAATGCGTACAGCCAGCTCGGGTGACGGGGGGGGGGGGGGGGAGGCGGGGCGGACCGGGGGG